CACTCCTTACCCTGCACCCTCTTATGTCGTGTACTTTCTCAGGCTGCAGACCTGCAATATATTCCAGAGAGGTTCATCTTATGATGGTGTGGAGCTCTATTCAAGCCATTGAGGCTTAACACAGAGCTAGTAAAAAAAGAGAATTAGCTATAGATTGTGTGAGTCTCAGGACAGAGCAATATCCATTTTGACAGCTCCTTTCTAAATGGCACAACCCGTCTCACAAGGCCTCATGGTGGATACCTCAATGGACACAGTACAGGACAAGGACTCTGAACAGCTCAGTTCTACAGACAGGGTTGCAACCAACTTCCCAAATGATTTTCAGGAGGACTCCCTTTCACTCCTTTCTGCCTATAAAATCAGATTGCTCTGAGACCTCTGGGTGGAAAGGACTGTGTAGGAACCACAAATTATTTCTCTGGTACTAAGAATTAGCAACAACAGCAGTAATGTCATCTTCACAGGAGAAAACTTGTCCCTGCCAATATCTGTTACAATCCAGTACACTGGAGAAAAGAAATTTGCTTATAGACTTTCTTTATGGGACATGAAGCGGGCACAGAGAAGTGATACTAAGATCTTGGCATGGAAAAATTTCATTCTGAACTACAGCTCCCAAGAAAATAAAGACTGCATAAAATAAAGCTGAAATGGAACTCCCCATTGTAAATTCAGCTCTTAGTACCTGCCAAAGATATGAGAAAACCTCTGCCTACAGGGAACGGCTGTCCTTGTGCAAAAGTGCAAATCCAAGTTCCAGTGTTGCAATTCACGCAAACATGAATTCTGCTTCAGTGATCAAACGCTTCTTCTCAAGGTTTAAATGAGTTTCCACTAAGCTCCTTTCTTACTGCTCAGTCCCTAGCTGGATTTCCTTTAACTATAAAAATATACATAGTGCAATTAGCCAACCTTCAGAGAGTCTGTAGTTCATTTTATGCATGCTAGGCACATCTCCTGCTGTGAGCAGCCCATCCAAAGAGAGCTCTTTGAACTGGTCTGTGGTTGCTCATGTAGTGTGTTGCATTGTCCAATTTCATCATTCCTGGCAAGGCAGTGAACTCCTGGAGCTTGCTACAGGAGGAGGAGAAGAGATGATGAAGTGCTTTGTCCAGCTGGTGTGCCGGACATCTCAGATGTACAAATAAGCTTGCCTACCAGTAACTATAGGGCCTTCCCAGTCACCACAGACAGACTTTCATTGACCAGTTGTGCCTATATAATCCTATGTGGAAGCCCTCTCTTATCTAGGTAGCAGTCTGAAAGGACAGAAGGCAGAAAAGATGGATGAAAAATAAAAAAAAATAATAAAAAAAAGTAAGACCATAGCATGACACACCTTTGCACGCTGTTTGCTGAAATGTTAAAGTAAATCATGGTTTAAAATACCATGGAGGCGTTCTGTTAGAACTGAATCAACCGAAAATATACCCACAACCACCAGACAGTGCAGCATTTTGCTACATTTAGTGAGGAATATTTTTAGAATTCATAGCTCAAGCAAACTGCAAAGGACTACACTGCTCTACCTCCAAATACCCATTGGCACACTCACTATTTCTAAATTAAATGAGTCAAGTACTACAGAAAATGGGCAGCAAAGTTGACTGCATCATTTTCAAGCAACCATTCACATTTCTCCCCTTTGTCTTTGACTAGGTACTGGTTTAGGTAGGAAAAGTGGGGGGGTCATACATCAAAAAAAGTCCTGCTCTGCTGCCTTAAAAAGGAAGAGACATTTCATTTCAGAACAAAGAATTAGATTTTTTTTTTTGACATTGCTTCACTAGAAGTTTTTGGAGGTTTTACTTGGGTGATGGGGGTGGAGTGTTTGGCTCTACTATAATACAGCACATCAAAGTGCTTTTGATGTGAAGTTTACTTAACAGAATCAGTTTTTCCGATGATTGTGTTAATCTTTATAAACCTGAAGGCGATACTGTGCCTTTTAAAAAACTATAGCAGGAAAAGACTTGAGGTTACATACACTCTCAGCGGTGAGAGATGGGAGCAGTTGGACTATTTCGACACTTCTTACAACTTTGCTCGTTGTTTCATGGGCAGCAATAGCAACAGACTTGACACCGCTCTCACTCAGGCCAGGAAGGCTCTATTGAAACCATGCACAGTCCTTCACATCAGCACCTTCATTTGTTTTCTCAGGTAAGATCCACCACAGATTTCAAAGACCAGTTTACAACAGGCACTTGATCAGAGGCAGCAAAGGGGCCCTGAGCCACAACAAGAATCAGTGCTGATCTTAGAAAGGCTCCCTGCTCCCATCTGCTAATAGCTTTGTATTATTTTGAGCACAAGCTTCTGTCCCCTCTTAAATCTTGCAAAACCAGCTTTGCCATCCACTCCTAGTCTTGAAGTACGGCTGTGAAAAAGCTTCTGTTATGTCTGACGTGTTTACCTACAGCATTTGAATGACTTTTTAAGTTCTTTGAATAAAGATAAGAGACAATGTGTACATTTTCCACACAAATAGTGGAACGGTAATAAAATAAACATCAAAGGTAAGCTAGCAAATCATCACTACTTCAGTGCTATTTACAACAAAAGCAGGAAGAGGAAAAAACCTACCCTCGCCATTGGCATCATCTTAGAAAATACAAGTTTTGGAAGGAACGATAGCTTTTCCCCATACCCTGGAACATAAACATTGGCACCTACAGCTAATGCAACCCTTTACTGAAAGATCTCAGTTTACATTACATGGAGACAACAACAACAAGGAACCAAGAGAGGTCTCCCTCCTCTTACTTTTGTCTTTCTGAATTGCTAGAGTTTCTGAACTGGTACAGCTTTAGTGAGAACAGGAAGATATCAAGCCTATTATCATTAAAGTTTGGAAGAGTATGACCAGAAGGACAGAAGAACCTCTCCTTGTTCAGTATTTACTATTTAAAACTCACACAGACAGAAGAAATGGCAAAGCATTGAAACAAAATGCAGGTGTGTGTGGGAAGGTATATTCTGCTCAAGAGAGATCGAGACAGAAACCAGTGTTCTTTGTTTCTTCTGTTGGTCTTTTAAACCTGCCTTTTCTCATGTTCCTCTACAACACTCTTCAAGAGCCAGACCACAACGGTGTAGTCCTAACCAGAGCAACTCTGCATTAAGTATTTATCCTAAATTAAGGTCTGATTTAGAAAGACTGCTTTTGGAAAATATGGAGCAATCCAACTGTTACTCCAGGACACAAAATTCAAAGTGTACATATGAGAAATAAAATATAAGCACCACACTAGATTTCTGCTGATGTTTTTGTTTTGTTATTGTTTTGCAGACGCTAGCACTACTGCCGCATGAAGTCAAATGGTGTTTTGCAATTGACTTTGAACAGCGAGCAGCATAGGACTGAAGAGGGAGTTTTCAGAGAAGCTATTGCTGCATGGCTCTCTTCACTGAGTTGTTCTCACCAGCATACTGTGGAAGGATGCAAAATCTCTGGAGGGTAAGACCCCGACAATTCAAACCTAAAAAACAACCCCCAAAATCATGACTAAAGAAAAGTGTCCAGGTGAACTTATAAAATACTTTTGCCCCAGGTTTTATAGAAAATCTATAGATCCATAATGTGCAAAAAAGCGTTAAAGCAGCATAACTATTAAATAAATAGATAAAAGCAATCACAATAAAAGATTTTATTGGAGAGTGACAGTGTCAGAGAAGCTACAAACACACAATTCAAAAGAGATGAAGCAATGCTACTATATACACGTTAACACACTTAAAACTAAGGTTAAGGTTTCGACTGATTTTCTCCTAGCAAAGCTCATCGTATTGCCTACCTGTTCCCACTTCACCCCTGCACCAGGTATGGTTATGACAGAAAGGACGAGGGGCCAGGACTGAAACGACATTGTCAGGCTACATAAATCATTAGGAATTCACAACTGCGAAGCCGTACATTATTTTCCAACAGGTTGTTGAGCTGTCACATTACAACTTGTTGCTATATACAGCGCTATTAAAATAAATCACTGCACGTAACAGGTTCTGCTCTGCCACCTATAAGTCATTCCGCAGTTTACACCTGGGAGGCGGGCCCGGCTCTGCGAAGTCGTGCCGAACAGCGGCTTCATTCGAAATGCCCGGGAAGGGGAGGGACCTGGCAGGAGAAAATACAAACAAGTTTCGTAAAATAACTTTCCAACAAGACCACGCTGTCATCCCAGCTAATTACGGCTCTGATAGCGCTTATTAGCGCATACCCACCTTTGCTACCTTGCTTCTCCACCCACCACCCTTTCAGATCTTTGTCCTGGCTCCGCCTCTCGCCGGCGTTATAATGGGCTGGTCTGAAAGTGGTGGAGAGGCACAGAACCACAGGGGAAGAGAGAGATAATGACAATAACACTAATAACCCTAATAACCCTGCTGCTGCCCGCGCCGCAGCGAGAAGTCAGCCCGGCGTCCCGGCATTGACGGGGGCCGAAGCCGGCGAGACAAGACGTCCCCAGAGAGCTCCCCGCGCTGGAGGAGCGCCGGACGGTAACATCGGCAGCGTCCTGAGGAGCACCAGGCGCAGGGGGACCCAGAGAGGAAACGGCTCCAGCACCCGCCTGCTCGCTCCGGCTCCGCGGGGACCTCTTCGCCCCTCTCCTCCGACCCATGAAGCAGCGGCCGTAACGACCGAGCAGGACAAACAGGGGGGCGGAAAGAGAGCGAGCGCCCCGGTGGGGGAGAAGGAGGTGGAAGCCGGAGGAAGCGCCCCGTTCTCCGCCTCGCCGACGCAGGCGGCAGGGTAACGACGCCTGTCTTCGGCGTCCAGCGGCAGGGAAAGGTCCAGTCGCCTGCCAGCTATCCCGGGCGGCCGGGTGAGGCGGGCGCGGAGCCCCGCTGCCCTGCGCTGCCTGACGCCGCGGAGCTGTCCAAGCCGGGGCGGGGGCAAACCCCCCCCCCAGGTAGCCTAGCTGCTCCCCGCCGCCCCTTGAGGCCGCGCCGAGGGACGGGGGTCGCGCCCGCTCAGCGGAGCCGCCGTGTGCGGGGGGGGCAGCCGGCACCGCCGCCATGAAGCTGGAGGTGTTCTCGCAGCATTACGAGGACAAGCTGAGCGCCGGCAGCGATCAGGAAGGTAGCGGCTCCCTCTCCCCGGCGCCGGCTGAGAGCGAGCTGGGCTCGGACGGTGACTGCGCCGCCAACAGCCCGGGTGGCGGGGCCGGGCGGCCGGGGCAACCCCCGCCACCACCCCCCGCCTCGCAGCTGCCGCAGCCGCCTCCGAGCGAGAGCGGCAAGGGGAAGCCCTACACGCGGCGGCCGAAGCCACCCTACTCCTACATAGCGCTGATCGCCATGGCCATCCGAGACTCGGCCGGCGGCCGCCTCACCCTAGCCGAGATCAACGACTACCTGATGAGCCGCTTCCCCTTCTTCCGCGGCGCCTACACCGGCTGGCGCAACTCGGTGCGCCACAACCTCTCCCTCAACGACTGCTTCGTCAAGGTGCTGCGCGACCCGGCGCGGCCCTGGGGCAAGGACAACTACTGGATGCTCAACCCCAGCAGCGAGTACACCTTCGCCGACGGCGTCTTCCGCCGCCGCCGCAAGCGCCTCAGCCGCGCCGCCCCGCCGCCGCAGCCCGCCCGCCCCGCCGCCGCCCCACCGCCGCCGCAGGAGGCGGCCGGAGCGGGCGCCGCGTCCCCCGGCGGATCCCCGCGGTGCTGCTGCGCCTGCTCGCCCTGCAACTGCGGGCCGGGCACCGCCGCCAAGGAAGCAGCAACGGCGGGCGGCGGGGCGGCGGCGGGGGGCAGCGGCACCAAGTTCTCCAGCTCCTTCGCCATCGAGAGCCTGCTCAGGCGGCCGGCGGGGCCCCGCGCCGCAACGCAGCAGCCGCCGCCGAGGCCCGCCCGCCTCCTCTGGCCGGCGCCGCCCGCGGCTCCGCACCTGCTGCCCGGCCCCTATCCGCTGCTCCCCTACCCACCTGCCGCGCAGACCGCGTCCGCCGCCGCTGCCCTCTACGGCGGGGGGCTCCTCCAGCTTTGCGCCTACGGGCTGGGGGAGCCGCCTCCGCCGCTGCTGCTGGGGGGCGGGCGGCAGGCGCTGTCCCAGGGTGAGCCAACGCCGGCGGAGCGGCCGCGGGCGCCGCTCTTCCCCGTCGGCCTCCCCAAGGGCGGGCGGGGGCCGCCGCCCGGCTCTCCTCTCTACGGGCCCCTCCGGCTCGCCGGGCCGCTGCAGCCGGCGGCGGCAGGGGGCTCGGCCGCGTTCCACCCGTACGCTGTAGAGACCCCCCTGGCTTGACGAAGCCCCCCTTCTCCCCTGCAAGGGGCCTGCCTGGGGAGGCGGGGAGGGGGGAAGGAGGACGCTCTGGATCCCGCACTTTAACTCCAGAGGCGACCAAAGCCTCCAAGCAAAAGCCTCGGTGACTGTGCCTTAGTGATATGACAGTGGGGTTAACTTAAACCAAAAAAAAAAGGAGGAAAAAAAAAAAAAGAAAAATTTCAAAAAATCCCAAAACAGCTGTCGGTTTGGACATAGCCATGAGCCTCAAGTGCTTCTTACTGTTCGTTGAGACTACTTGACTTCGGCCACTCCCTCACCACTTGCTTACCACCCTCCCCCTTGCCCCTGCACCTCCTGCCACCAAAGCCTTGGGCAGCCGCGCAGGGGTGCGCTGTGCGCCTGGGGGGACGGCCGGAGGCTCCTGCCGGGGCGAGAAAGGGAGGGGGCCGGGGGCTGCTGCAGAGCCGTAGGACTGTACTGCAAAGCAATGCATCACTGTGCCAAAAGAAACCTTTTCTCCTGTCCGGCAACTAGCATTTCGTGGGAAGGGAGAACATTAAGTTATTTATAAAAGTAGTGTTTTTAACACAAAGAGTGTGCAGCTTTTTTAATTAATTATTGTTCTGGGGGGTTGGGGGGCGGAATGGGGCAAGGGCTCAAGGAAATGTCAGGCGTTGTCTCCTGTGCTGGTTGGCGTTGTACATTTAAGGCCAAGACCGCCGCTACTGGAAAGAGAAATTTTGTTTTTCGTATTTTATTTTTGTGTTTGTATATAATGTATGTGCGTGTGCATTTTATTGACCCTCGGCCACATGGTTTTCTCACCCTCTTTCCCCCTTCGTTTTTTTTTTTTTCTCCTCTCCCCCGAATAAAGGCTGCCCCCCTAAATAAAGACGGTAATTAATAAGGAGCAGAGCGTGGTGTCTGTGCCTCCGTGGAGGGAGGGGAGCCTACCGATCGCCTTTCCCGGGGAGCGCTCGGACTGCGGGACAGCCGGGCCGCCCTCCCGCTCCTTACCATCCGTCCTGCATCTTCCTCATGCGGGCAGCTGGGCCACGAACGGGCCCACCTTGGTTTGACTGGGGGAGGTGAGAGATGTCCTCCTCCTCCTGGGCTGCCGCCAGGTTTTTTGGAAGTCCTTTGCAATTCCTCGAATCAAATCAGGGCTCCCGCCGGTGCTCAGCCCCGGAGAAAGGCTGGCGAGCCTCAGGCAGGCGGATTTGCAGGCAGGTAGCCCGACTTAGGGCAGTCTGCGGAAGTCCTGAGCATCTGCCTTCCTTGTTTATTATTAGTAGTATTTTCTTTTCTTTTCCTTTTCTTTTTTTTTTTTTTTCATTTTTTTTCCCCCGAGGGACAGCACACAAAATGTAATCCTGTTGTTACCCCTCGATCCAAAGAAAACTCGCTTCGGGAAGATCCTTGGTACTACCGGGCTCCAACTGCTCCCGGCACAGGCAGCCGCGCGGGCCCCTACAGTGGGCGGAACTTCGGCAGGATGATACGTTCTCGAATATCTGCTGGTCATAAGCAGCTTACACACGTGTTATGTTAAGGCTGATTCGTCCTGTCAGAAGTGATGAGGAAAGCCTCAGGAAGACTGAGTCGGAAAAAGGAAAGGATGGGGTTTTAACTGCCGGTGGTACTGAATTACAATTCAGTAGCGTCCCCGGGCTCGAAGAGCTTTAAGCAAACGCCGAAATGATAACTCGGGGCTTGTTTGTTCGTTTGTTTGTTTTAATTAGAAAAGGATAGCAACAGGCGGGTTCTTTTCCCCTCCAAGTCTTCTGTAAGCACAGATCACGTAAACAAACGGTGACAAGCGGAATTTGGGGCGCTGGTTGTCCTTTTTTTTCTATTTATTCTTGTTTCGGACTTTCTTCCCCACCTCCTTTTCCTTCAGTGCGGGATTCAGCTATTGAATCCCTTCTATCCTGCTCGCAAAAGCTATGGCGGGTAGAGAAGGTTTGTTGGGAAAAGAAAGCTTCAAACCGAAGAGTCTGCTGGCAAAAACACCGACTTGTTTCAATAAAGCTCAAGCAGATTTCACGGTGCGTTTAGCTCAGACCATAACATTCATCAGAACATTGCGGGAGATTAGTGACTAATGTATGAAGTAATCCAGCCCTTGAAGGAATTGGTTTTTATGTGCACACACGCATGCACACACACACTATTTCGACATCCTTCTGCCTTCAAGGTTCTGTGCAAATATTAATCTACCCTTCTAGAATTTACCCTCTCCTCTAATTTGTATTTTAACGTCTTTCTTTCTAGGACTCCACATGAGCCGTCAATATGCAACTGCTAATATTTTTCGGTTTGTCGTTTTGTAGATGGTCATATTTCAGGGTATGTTAAAAGCACCTTGATGGAAAGTGGAATTTGTTGTTACAGCCACAAGCGTGTATTTAATCAGAGGTACGTAAACGTGAACAGGGCTGAACGTGTGTATAATAAGATGACATTCGGCTTTTTACTTGTAGGAAAGTCACTTTTTCATTAAAAAATAACTCAGCAATAATAATAATAATAATAATAAAGACAGCCTACAGATTTCGAGACGTACCTTTGTTAATAAGAATTTATCTTCTATAAATCTCGATTTTTTTTAATGTATTGCTGAACCTACGGCCAAACCCCAGTATAAGGGATCTATACAGTATCTGTAAGTGATCTCTCTGTCCTCGCGGTCCTTTCCTAGTGCTTGTTTGGGTTTCTCTAGCAGGTTGGGATGGGTATTTGAGGGGACCCTGGTGCACCCTGGCCGCCAGGCGAGGAGGTGGGAGGGTAAGCGAGTACCGCAGCTGTCCGGAGCCCTGTCGATGGCAGGGCTGGAGAAAGGGCCGGGTCTTCTCCTCCCTCTGCTTGAGCATCATTCTCTGAAAGGGAGGCAAGGGACAAATTTCCCACTGTTGACCTTCGGGTGGAAATTGCCCCATTGCGATATTGCTTAGACCATGCGTGAGTTTCTGAGCAAGGGAGCTGGGACAGTTTGTTTACATGCGAGTGAATATATGGGGTGAAAAATAATAGGGGGGAGGGGGAGCTGGGTCTCTACTCTTATCCTGCTCCGGGTACCGGGCTGGGGTAGCTGCATGGCAGTTCCGCGGAGTGGGCTGGGAGGCGGAGGGCCGGGACCCGGACCAGAGCCGGCAGAGGAGTCGAGGGGGGTTGGAAGGCCAGCCCTAGTTGTACGGCCATAAATCCGGGCTGTCAGCTGAGACAGACGGCTGGTGAAACACAGCACCTGTCCAAACACTTTCCAGCAGCAGGTAATCAGAGAACCGACACTTTACATTTTTGTGTGGAACAAGCTCATTAACCATTTCGCAGACCGTCCCAAAACAGCGCTGTTTGCGTGTCTGGGTACTTTGTCTTTCTTAACGTCTAATAAATCAGGATGACAGAAGAGTCAAAGCCTTTCTCCTTTTGATATTTGACACATCAGCAGTAAGCCAATACTTTTTCTCCCTGTTCTTTCAGCCCTCCTAGCGTCTACATCGCCCAGGGTATCTGTTTGTTAAATGGATGCAGTTCAGGATACCTGAGAGATTTTTACACACTGGACAGGCAAAAATGATGTCAGCGGCACAAAAAGCCCAGTGGAACAGGGAGCATAATAGTTTCTTCATCAGTATGTGAGGCTCTGCAAACATCCTATGCTGGCTGCTCCATCACCTCCGCAATTTCTTCATGCGCTTGGTGGAAACCCCAGCCCTGGTAGAATTATGCATGAATTCTGGATCAGACTAGGTTCTGGTTTTAACTGCACTTTTGAAAAGAGATTTGGCTTTCCAGATAAATATGTTTTGTTTGAGACTTTCTGTCTGTAACAGTTTCATCTTTTGCAGGTTTTGGATGTCTTGCCATGATTTAAAGAGGAAGAAAAAAAAAAAATTAAGAGACCCCAAAACAAAATGAAAAAAAAAAAAAGCAAACCTGGCAATCAAAATATTTTCATCCATCTGGGGGAAGCTTCTCCCCATCCTACCCCAACTCCATACTAGATAGTGGCAAAACTAGTTACCTGAAAAATGTTAGTCCTAGCCACTTTCTTAAGTCTCTTTAACCTACCGAGTAGCAGAACTGCATAAACTCCTCCTTTGTGGATTAGGACAAAATTAACACAAAGGAGAGATTTAAGCAAAAGTTTAGGCATTTGGTAACTGCTAAACATACACTCACAGAAGAAACAAGCTTGCAAAAGTGATCTGTGGATAACAGCTTGTATAAATTACATATATTCCAAACAGCGGGATACTAAAGTAATACTGTGCCTATTATCCTTTACAGGAGGCAAAGAGTTTTACACTTTTATCTTAAGTGGAGACATGCCAGTAGGGGAGCATTTTGACTGTATTATTTTCCCATTAAATTAATTAACCCCATTTTTCACCATCCAGACCCAATAAAGCCTGAAAGTTGCTTTCAGCTCTTATACTCCCTATGATCGGTAAGACGGGATAAGTAGCCCTTCAAGTAGCCCTAGCCCTTATTCAGGAATATATCTACTGAAATCGGTTATTTTATTCAAGAGGCATCTCAGCACAGCAGCTCTAGCTACAAGAGCACAATTCAACACAGATCTGTAGTGAAAGCTCCTAAGCAAAGTAAGTGCAGCCCTTGGTATCAGCTTAATTTCACACTAGATGCTGAGAGGACTGAAACAGGATGGATGTAATTTTGCCTTGGGACCTTGTCCAGGTATTTTTTACCCCAAACCTTTTTCCAAAAAGGTTATTCTTGGGAACAGGATGTGTCAGGCACAGAAGGCCCTATAACTAAAATAAATTTCACCCCAGAAAAAAAGCACATACGAAGGACTCAGATTCATAGGCCATTCATCTTTTGCACCATACCTTAAGTAGCCCACAGTGAAAATTCCTATACAAGAGCAAGAACAACTGCAGCCCCACATGGAAGTGTAGAGCTTCTTAATCAAAGTCCAGATTTTGCACAATTCTTCATTGAGCTGGGGGAGGTGTTTCATTTAATAATAGACAAGAGAGTCCCTGTATTGTGCCAGGCTTTTTGCCTTTTAAGTCTGAAGTAGACATAAAAACAAAGTTGAAATCCACCTCCAGCCAAATTCAAGGCACTAAGCTGTGATTTTGGCAAGGGTGCTTGTATTCTGTTGCAACTTTGCCGAGTACTGCAGTAGCTGTTTAATGAAGGGGTGAATAGGATTCCATCTTTTGTTTACAACCTGAAGAGGAAATATTTTCTTCTTGAATAAACTCTCATCTTCATTGACACTCTCAGAAGTCTCAAAACCAGCTCCAGAAAAGACATCTACAAAGCCTAAGTACCCCAGCACAAAATCAGACAGATAGCTAGAACGAGCCTCGTACTTTCTAAACATTCAAGCCTGTATTAATACATCATTATTTAGGTTATATACATTGCCAGCTCCAGAAAGCTAGTAATTTACGTAGTCTCCAGCCTGGCATAGGAGCTAAACATTGCTTACTGCCTTCAGGAAGTTTTACCTCTATATGTCTGGACTGAAGAGGCCTTTGTCCTCTTTTCCAGAGCCAGAGGGGTTGTGTATGAGGAAGGATTGAGAGAACACACTGTCATAATATTTGTGCTCTTGCATCACAGTATTGTTTTCTCTGTTATGGCCTGTTTCAAAATTTCAGAGTTCTTTCAAGCAGGATGGCATACTAATAACCTCCTTTGCTATAGGGAAAAGCAGTGCTTCTGTGGGTTCTTTCTTTAATAGCAGAGCAGAGGATATTCAAGATGGAGCAATACAGCTGTACTCTTCAGTAAAATGTCTTGAACAGAGTGTGCAGGACCTAAGACCAAAGACCATCGAGTAAAAAAATATGCAAGAGGAAAGAAAAAAAATATATATAGGTTTACACGTTTTTCTAAATTCCACTGTAGTTTATTCCTTATTATTTA